GAAATGTCCTTCTTTGTCTCTTTTGATTGGTTTTAGTTTGAAGTCTATTTCGTTAGATATTAAGATATCTATGCCAGCTTGTTTCTTAGGTCCATTTAATTGGAAAATTTTTTCCCAACCCTTTGCTCTGAGGATATGCCTGCCTTTAAGGTTGAGGTATGTTTCTTGTATGCAGAAGAAGGATGGATTCTGTTTTCATATCCAATCTGCTAGCTCGAGTCTCTTTATAGATGAGTTGAATCCATTTATATTAAGAGATATTAATGATGAGGATAGCTATCTCCTGTTATTTTAGTTTTCATTGTTGGTGATGATATTTTCTGTGTTTCTCATTCTTTGTGATTTGCTGCTGTGAGATCATCTATTGTCTGTGTTTATGTTGATGAGGACAATTTCTTGGGTTGGAGTTTTCCTTGTACCACTTTGTGTAGTACTGGGTTTGTGGCTAGGTATTGTTTATGTCTGTTTCTGTCATGGAATGTCTTGTTTTGTCCTTCTATGGAGATAGAAAGTTTGGCTGGGTATAGTATTCTGGGCTGGCAACTGTGGTCTCTTTAATGTCTGTATAATTCTCTGATAATCATTTTAAAGGTAGAGCTGTTGGTACCTTTAGAAGATTAGCAACTGGTTGTGCCCTGATTTTGTACAACCTGAGTAGTGACTGTTTTTTTTTTTTATAGTATCTTGTAATATTTTCCCAGAAACATATGTTAATTTTTGGTTTGTTTCTAAGATTGGGGGAATATTAATTTGAGCATTTCATTGCTGTAGCAAATCACATCCCCACAAATTCATTGCTATGTTAGCCACATACGGTTTTAATATTCTTCGTTCTTCTGGCCTCATACATTCAACCTATCTTGTGCTTTTGTTTACCTGAGATAAGTTTTGATCTCTAAAAACTGAACATTTACTTCCTGAAGAGGCCAATTTGGATGCCAAGATTCTGAAGAAATTATTGTTGCATCTGTGTACAGACCTTCAATGACGATGTCATTTATTTGTAATTTTAAACTTTGGTCTTTTTTTTCTTTATAGAAGTTTGCCAAAATACTCATTTTATGGTTTCTCCTGAATTTTTTGTTCTCTCTTCTATAGCTAGTCTGTCATCCAGAGCAGTATGATTTCTTATAATAGACATTAGGTTCTTTAACTGCTCTGAGAAGGAGGCTCCTCTACAATGGCAGGAAATGACTAACCCACTTTGACATAGGGGACAGCAAGAGGCCCCTCATGGATTTTCCCAATGGCAAAGGATTACCTTGACTATTCCTTGTTGACCTACATTTATTACTTCAATGACTGCATTTGCCATATCTTCTGCATAAACAAGAAGGGAGGGACATTGTGAATGGATTATGCTTAGAAAAAAATGTTTCTAGTAACATCATTTCTCCAATCCTATTTAAGGTGACCTTGTTTGCCACAATTATAATATTTGACATTTCAAGTTTTCCTCAAATTTCTGGAAATTACCTCTCTCCTTCCATGCATCATCAGGGTCATGGGACACAATATTAATTGTATCTTGAACCTATTCCTCCAAAGGTGCTGACCTTGCTTTTAGCAGTCTAATTATCCTTTCACACAGAGAATTAGCATTTTCAAAAGCCAAAGGTTCAATTATTATTTGTCTAACTTCTGAATTTGGTATCATTTATTTATTGTTGCTGTCATCCTTTGTAAGAAATCTGTGAAGGTTTCTTTTGGGCCCTGTATGGCTTTAGTAAATGATTTAATCATTTTTTCCACTTCCTCAATTCTGCCCCAAGCATTTAAAGCTGCATGGCATAAAACCAGGGTGTGAACATCATATAGAGATTTACTTTCTATAGTAGCATAATCTCCTTTTCCAGGTATTTGATGTTAGGGGTTTTCCATACCTCTAGCTTTCCTCTGTTGTCCAATACTCTTAGCCTCTTCTCTGAACCAGTTACTCTATTGTAATTGTGGAACAGGCTCCAAAATAGCTTTAACCAGTTCTATCCATGCTTTAGTGATAATTCTATTACAATCTGACCATGAGGTTAACATTTGCTTCACAAAAGGGGAATGCATGCCATTTGAGACTATTGCTTCCTTGAATTTCCTTAAATCTAACATTGGCACAGGAGTGCAGTTAGATGTAATAGAGCCTCTGTCATCTAGGAAGTCCTGTAAGGTTACTGGATATAATAAGGTTGGTTGTTTGAAAACATTAGGCTGTTCCTCTCTATTCTTACAATGCAACACTGACATCAGTTCTCCATTCAATTCCTCTGTCTTGATTTGAATATCTCTGTGGCCTGTTTTATTAAGTTTTCTGAAGTCTGTATCTTAGCATTCAGATTAACTAACTTGTTAGTCATAAGACAAAAATGATAAAGCTGATAATGTTTATAATTGATATTACATGAATCCCATCAAAATTAGATATCTTCTTATTTAATCATTCCATTTTCAAACTGTCCATCATATTATCATACAGAGACACAAATCCCGTCCCATGGTGCTTCCCATTTTTTTAATGTGTTAAAAAAAACTCTCTCTTTTTAACTAATTCCTCTCCTTAAGAATTCCCAATTGTCTTACCAAAACTGCCGATGATGTTGATGAAGATGTGAGGCTGATTGCTGCTGTGTAGAATAGTAAAAGCCTGACTGGATTCCAAGGCAGCCACCTAGTTTGGCAGCAGCCCAAGAAGGGAGTTCAGGGAGAGCCCTCCAGGAGAGGAAAAAAACAAAACCTAGCTATCAGGGCAGTGACTCTGGCCGCTTGTTGCTCTGGCCTATACCAGTGACTGTAATGCCACAGACAAAAGGCTTTATTGTGAATTTGTATGCCAAGTGCTGGCACCAAATGTAACACGAATAATAAAAACCCAGAGAGAGATATTGTGGTTCAACCTGGGGATCAGAAAAGCCAAGCAGCCAGCCACTGACTCTTACCTCTACCTCAGATGGAAGTGGACAATCCTGCTTCCAGATATCCTCAGATAGAGACTAAGACCTGTCTCCTTCCATCTTATATTCCCCTCTGTTGCTGGCATTAAAGGTGTACATCACCACTGCCCAGTATTTATGGCTAACTGCCATGGCTGCTGGGATCAAAGATGTTGGCAACCACTGCCTGGCCTGTATGAATAAGTGTGGCTGCTTTGCACTGATCTTCAGGCAAGCTTTATTATTTATTTATTTATTTTTTATTAAAACACAAATAATATACCACTATATAAGGCCTTTTTAAAATTTTATTTGGAGAATTGTTTATTTGCTCTTGAACTAGGACCTTGCTTTATTACCAAAGTCACTGAAACTCCTGATGTAGCCCAGGCTGGCATCACATTTGCAGCTATCCTCCTGCCTCAGCATTCCAAGGGCTGAGACTACAGGAGTGTCTCACCACATGAGTTGACATCTTGGAGGATTATGGTTAACTATGAAGTGCTGTCAGGAACATATGTGTCACAGGGGAAATAGGGCCAGGCCATCTGGAGACTGCCTCTAGCCTAGACCCTTGGGGAGCAAAGAACAGCAATCTGTCATACCCTTTGTTCCTGCTGGATTCAGGGGGGTGGACCACAAGACCAGAAGGTATGACTCCCATTTGCATCTGTCCCCATGTGACCCAGAGAATCCCCTGGAGATGATGGCATCAGTAAAGAGCGTTCACTGCTGCAGATGGAAAGACCTGGCCAGAAAAGGACATGGTGCCAGGCCACCAGCAGCATCTGTGACATCCGTCAACTGTTTCCATTTGTGTCCTGAATAGCAAACACTTCCTTGAAATTCTTCTCAAACTCAGACTCTAGTCTAAGTCCCATTTGGCCAAAGTTATGGTCCTAGAAAACAACACAGGCAAAAATGATGGTGCTCATTATCAGTGATAAAACCATCTCCTCAGCATGTCTACCCTCTGATGGAATCTGTTAACTTCATGGTCTAGTCACATGTAAGTTAACTCAGACTTTGCTATGTCTGAGAATCATGTCTCTATAAAGTAACAAGCAGAAAAAAATTCAGATTGGGTAGTTGACTCAGTGGGCCAATGCTTGCCACACAAGTGTGAGTACCTGAGTTCACATCCCCAAAACCCATGGAAAAGTTCATGTGGTAACACACATCTGTAATTCCACCACCACAGTGGTGACAAAACAATTGTCTCAACATGGTGATATGTGAAAAACACCCACGGTTGCCCTCTAACTTGATCCTCATGTGTAGTATGACACAAATGCATTTGCATTTACACATGAACATACACACACCCATGTATACATATACATCACACATGTCCACACACACACACACACACACACACACACACACACACACATATATATATATATATATATATATATATATATATTTAAACTAGTGTGAATGTTTCCAAAAAATGGTCACCACAGGGAGTGACACTCTTAGGAGTTGTGGCTTTATTAGAGTAGGTGTGGCCTTGTTGGAGAAAGTGTGTCACTGTGGGCCCATTTTGAGCTCTCCTATGTTCAAGCTACACCCAGTTAGACACAGATTCCTTCTGCTGCTGTGAATCAACATGTAAAACTCTCAGCACCTTCTCCAACATCATGTCTGCCTATGCATGATACACCATGATGTTAGTGAACTAAACCTCTGCAACTGTAAGCTAGCTCTAAATAAGTTTTCTTTTATAAGAATTGCATGCTCATGGTGTCTATTTACAATGATAGAAACCTTAACTAAGACAACTAGGGTCTAGAGAAATAGCTTGGTGATCATGCAGGCTGCTGTAACATTAGCTTTGAGGGATCTGAGGTCTCTGACCTTCACAGGTAACTACACTCACATCCACATACACTGTGACATTTCTGCCAAATGCACACACACACATGTGCACACACACACACACACGGATTAAAAGCTTGTGCCTTATTACAGAAAGATATGGGAAACTAGACTTTCCAGGTACCAGAAATTAATGAAAGAGTAACCAACCCAGTGGAAAGAAAATGAGATGCAGGCAGAGAGGGATGCTGACCTTGAATGTGGTTCTGGAAGATGAGCCTCATGTCTTGTACAAACTCTTTCACGTGAAAATAATCTCTCCCTTTAAGCTTTTTATTGATCAAGTCCAACCACATAGGTTCCATTATACCCACAGATGTCTCTCTACACTGGTGACAGAAATAACAATGGGAGAGTGACGGACATGGCTCAGCTTACCTTCCACGGGGCCCCAGAAAGGCCACAGAAACAACTGAGTCTGTGGTCCTGGGGGATTGTGATCCCAATCCCACAAATGCCCCTCACATTCATGAAACATCATAGTAGCCAGTGATGGGAGGCTCACCACCACTACTTACATAATAATAATATGGCATCTTGGAAAAAAAGGAACTCTCAGAACAGCAGTAGACTCTCAAGAGGACAAACTCACACTTCTGTGAGAAAAGAAGACTCAGTCAAAATGACTTATTAAGACAGAATCCATACACATACCCAGGAGGAAGGCACCTCTCAGACCTCTCTGGAATGCGCCCCCACATGAGTGTCTCTTGGTTACAGACTTATAAAGGCTGAGTTAGTTCTTCTGCCAATGGGTTGTGCTGTGAAAATAGCATGATAGAGTGTGGCTTGGAGGAGCAGGCTCCATTGCTGCTGTTCTTCTGTGCTCTTCCAGGGGAAAGGAGAAAGTGTGGGGTTCACAGGGACTCACCAACTGCTCCTGGGGTGCCATCCGCCTCTGCAGTACCTCAGATTCTGGATAAGACTGTTGTCTTCCTAAGGACTGTATCCTGCAGGAGATGCAACTCCATGGTGTTCTGAAAAGTTGAACATGAAGTGAGCAGGAGACAAGACCTGAAAACAGCCACTGTTGTATGCCTGCCACTGTGCTTTCAGAATGGCTGGTGATGTCATCTGGGGGAGAGGTCCCTGGGCTCTGAGGGACCCCATGTAGGATCTTAAGCTGCCATTACTCCCATCAGAGTTGTGGTAGGAGCCAGTGCTTGGAAAAAGTGGGATTTATGTTCAGTGGGGGAAACCACATTTCTGGTTTCTGGGAGCAGAGAGGCTAGGCTATTAGGTCTGTACACAGAAGATGGTCTTCCACAAATTCTGGGAACTTTAGACCTTGATTGGCCCATTACAACCTGGGTAAATGTGGGTAGTGGTCATATTTCCTTCTTTTATGAATAAATACAAAAGAACTTGGCACGACAAAAGTGGATGGATTAAAAGTGAAATGGTATGAATTTAACATTTGTTTAAATGGGCGCTTCAACATCACACCTGATTTTTCTGTCTCTTAACGAGCTGTTATGGAGCACTTTGGAGAGGTTTTTGGCTAAATGTGACACAATTGCTTCTTGGTTTGCCATCTCTGGCAATCTTAATGTGCCATCCTGGGACAGGCTTGGTAGAGATCTGGATTTTGCCACTGAACAAGGTACGCTAAGGAAGGGAGTTAGATTCATGTGGTTTGAATTACGGAGACCGCCTGAGTAATTCAAAGTGGAGTGTGAGCAGCTGTGGCTCCAAGGCCAAGGAGTTCCAGGTGGCTCCAAGGCCAAGCTGAGGGTCTGTGAAGCTGAAAACACCCGGGACCTGCCTCAGGGCATAGAAGGGCATAGAAGCCACAAGGGATGAGATCTGTGGGCCTGAACCTCTGTCTCAGCCCCGGGGCAACTGGTCGGAGTGGGGAAGTGGAGTCTCTGCTGCCTCTCCCCTGTCCCTGCCACCTCAGTCCGAGCACGACTGGAAATGGCAGTAGATTGTAGTAAATACCTTTAAGAATGCAATGTCCCTGCTCAGCAAGAAGTAGCAAATTTAAGCTAATTTAAGCTAATTTAAGTGGGGTTCCTTCAGAGCAACAAGCCTGCTTTCTCCTGAGTTCTGCTCCACCCTTCAGTGGTTGCAGAGCCGCCTGCTTTCCTGAGTTCCCCGTGCCACTCCATGCACCAGTTTGGAGAAGGCAGCTGGAGCAGAGCTTTGCTAGGTGGCTGTGGTGGAAGGCACATTGCCTCAGCCCAGTTGGTGCCTAGCCTGGCGGATGCCACAGCAGTGCCAAGAGTATCAGCAAATGCAACAACAAGGGCTGGAGCTGAGACCCCACAGGGCTGCCCGAGAACACAGCGTAGCCGTAGGGCTGCTGAAGAGTCTGCGGCAGAGAGAATTTAAATTAAGAGACTGCCCCATTGTAGGAGTAGGTACCTGTGTGCTCTGTTTTAGCCAAAGGGTTGGTAGAATACCATAGCCCAAATGGGAGGTTGGGTCTAGTGGTGACTGGGAACCCTATTGCTAGCAATCTCAACACCTGTTGTCATGGGCATTCATCTTTGAATCCTGTGTAAGATCAGACAACCCATGAGAATGCAGCATATAGTCACTTAGCAGAAGCAGGATCAGCTGAGCTGCTAGGGAAGCCAAAGAGGTGCACGAGGGAGAAGGTGTCTTCCATGCACTCAGCTGACAAGAATGAATGTGCCACGGGGGTATGGCAGCTGGGGTATGTTATTAGAGGCAAGTCTATACCCTAGTCTGTCAGACATTTCTTTCCATCTGGGGCTGTGTGTGACCAGCATGCAACTAATTTGTTTAAAGAATTGTATAGATATATTTTAGGTAATTGGTCTGGTGAATTCGAACAACAATTGGAAAAGTTGCGGGTGGCGATGGTGACTGCAAATTCCACACGCATGGATACCAGCCTGGCAGAAGAACTATCTTCCTGGATCACTCCATGGATCATCTGAAGGAGTGGGTGGGATAAGAGCCCTGGCAGGCTTGATGGTGCTTGCCTCCCTGGTATACCTGTGGTGCATTTGTCACATAAGGGTTTCACAGCATCGCAATGCAGTTATGATTATTCATGCCTTCACAGTCATTGAAGCAGGACAGTCTCCCCAAGTTTGGCTAGAGATGTAAGCGAGCACAGGATGTGAGGCTTGCGCACTGCACTTGAGGTAAGCATGCATCAGCCTCAAGAAGAGCAAGTCTGATTGCATGTGGGTTGGTGTCTAACTCCCACCTCTGTAAAAAGGCACCGGACAGGTCTAGTGTTCTCTGAGTGGATGACACCTGGACAAACACTAGTTCATGTTCCATTTTTAACAGAGATCAGACCTCTACTCTTACCTGTTGCTTTACAAAACAAAAGGGGGAACTGTAGCGAGCTGCATGAAGCCATACCTGATGGAGATGTATAATCAACTCCTATGGCTAAAGTCTGACTTATGCTATGATCATGCAATGATTATCAGCTGCTTGCATATGTGTGGGCCTATGGGCAGTGCCCACCTGGCAATCCGGGGTTGGTAGCCCGTGCCTTTTTAAGGGCTGGGAGAGGTTTGCCCGAGGAGAGAGAGGAAGGAGAGAGGGGAAAGAGAGAGAGAAAGTGAATAAAGTCCTGGAAAAAACTGCAGTGAGAAGAGCTCCGGTGTGTCACGCGTCATCCTTGCTGGACGAGGTGGGGCGTGACAAGTGAAGTTTGACGGAAGGGAGCCATGAACCAATCCCAAAACAATGATGCTTGGAAAACCAAAGATCCTGACACAGAAAGACTAGCAACAAAACAAGATTTTTACATAATATGACTAATTTTTCTATCATATACAAAAAATGAGTTTCTGAAATAAAATATTAAGTCCATTTTTCCATACAGCAATGGCATCAACTCATCAAAAGGAGATGTACTAGGAATCTAATTGGATGGAATAAACAAAGAGAATATCACATCCTGTGATTGAGCATGAACATGCAATGAATTGAAGAAAGGGTCTGTAGAGGAGTGTTTTAGACAGTGAGTTCTATAACTAGAGAGCCCTGAGCCAGTGGTGGGGACTCTGAGAAGACAGGATATGAGTGCAGATGACCAGCCAAGTGGGTACAAAGCAAAGGACTCTATGGCTGTTGGAATCTTATAGAAGATTCCACATGACCCAAGAAAATGCACATGTAAGACCTGAAGACATCATCTCTAAAATCCAAGGTCTGTAGTCATGGCAACCACTTAGGGTGGAGACTAGAATGGTTTTATTTGTGAACCTTTGAACATGTCTAATAGAGGTTATATTAATTAGACCTGCCCATTGTGGATTCCTGGAGCGTTGCATGGAGAGAGTGTAGTGATCATAAACACACATTAACTCTGTGCTCTGTGCTCCTGGTGGATGTGATGGGAGCAGTTATTTTATGTTTCTCCCACCTTGACTCCCCTGCAAGGATGGCTCTGCCATCATTTTCTTGAAACACAGAAGCCCTTCCCAAATCAATGGAGATTGGACTTCTTTCCAGGTCTAACACAGAAAGCCTTTAGTCAAATTTGGCATAGTCACATCTGATGGGAACAGCAAAAGCCAAGTGGAGCCACCTATGATTTTTATCTCCACCTGCTGTGTATTTGGGGGCTTTTAATATTTGTACATATGGTCTGTATTCTTTCGATTATCTTTTAAATAAATGCTGATTGGTCAGTAGCCAGGCAGGAAGTCTAGGTAGGACAACCAGACAGGAAGTACAGGTGGGTCAATGAGAACAGAAGAATTCTGGGAGGAAAGAAGTCCGAGTCTGTAGTCATGACCCAGCCACAGAAGAAGCAAGGTGCCTTGCCGAATAAGGTACCAAGCCACGTGGCTAACATAGACATGAATAATGGGCTAATATAAGTTATAAGAATGAGTAAATAAGAAGTCTGAGCTACTAGGCCAATCAGTTTATAACTAATGTAGACTTCTGTGTGATTTCTTTGGGACTTAATGACTGTGGGAACCGGGCAGGTCAGAAAACCTTAGACAACACATATTGGGAATATTGAATTGATATTAAATATTTTATGAGTCATTTATGCCTTCTCCCAGGAGTACTGCTTCTAAACTTCCCCAGGAAAGTCTTGAACATACTATCCCTCCTGCTTATAGGGAAATATCCTTATCTACCTCCAAGGTCTTCCTTGAGGTTGTGACATACATAAAAAAACAGAGGTCTCTTTATGAGGCTATGAGATATTGTTAAAGCATCTGTTCCTGTAGTTACTCAGGACCAAGATAATCAAAACAAAGTAACCCTAAAAAGGTCAACAAAATTCGGTGGGCTAGAGGAGTTGGCCACAGATCAGATTTCAAGCCTCTTCCCACTGTGCACTCAGATAATTACATGGCATATACAACAACAAAGTTAGATTATCTGAAGTTATACTGATTGTCAAAGTATGTACTGAAGTGATGATAAAAAGAATGAGATGTCAGGATCTCCTTTCTTAGAAAAGTTAGAAATACAGTATCACTGTGGTGTAGTGTGACCAAGGAACAACAGAATGCTGGGATTAGATATATAGACAAATATAAAAATATAAAATATAAACATTGCATTATACCAGAATTTGAATAATAACTGCAACAGCTTTGGCCTGAAGACTTTTCTTGGGATGCCTCTGGGTTCTTAAAAATTGAGTTATAGGGTTAATGAGTAAAAATAACTTTTTTTAATGATGTCAAATCATGAGAGATAATGAATGGAAATGATAACTCTGTTCTGTCATTGTTTATGAATGATGACTAAAAGATGAGCAAAAGGAACTAAAACACGTGTCCCAAAACTTTGATATGCTCTATGTTTTGGAACAACATGAGTATATGCCTGATTACTAAATTCTGCATAAACAAAGAAGCACTTTGACTGAGAGTCAGTCAGGCTGCAAGATTCTCCTGGCCATCATGGCCTGGCTTACCTTCTTCCCTTGCCAACTCCTAACATCCTCTGCTGGGACCTGTCTACCACCAGGGATGGCCTCCGGCACAAATTCAGTTTTCATCTAGAGAAGTTTAATTTTGACAGTATTTGTACTGGTTACTACAAACTAAGGCCTGTTTATTAAAACCAATAGGTTGTACAGAACAATGCATATGCACCATATGGTACATAAATATATGTGTGTTCAAGATACTTAAGTGGTTTATGACTGAACCACTGCTGTGCAGAAAGAGTGGCACAGCACCAACATTAAGGCTCGGTGGTAGACACTGCCTGGATAGCAAGGAAACTTAGATGTTTTAAGTGGGCTGGGTGGATTAAGGCACCCACTCAGGAGATTAAGGCAGAAAAATCATGAGTTTGAAGACAAGTTGAAACCTCTGTACCAAAACCACATAACTGAAACAGTCTAAAACAATCTATAAGTTCTCCGCAGCACTCTCTTCCTATGGGTGAAGCCCCTTAACTAGCAACCCCTATCATTCATGACTGACAGGTTACAGTTCACTGTCACCCAGAGAACTATTCAAACGGGTACCTCACAACCTCCCTTGGGAAGCTGGTGGAGCTTTCCTATGGTCAGTTTTGACACAGGAACCAGAAAGTGTCTGAGTTTTCATGGACAGGAGCACATGAGTTACTGGTGCCACCTTCAGAAAGAATGGTGACAGTTGGAGAACTGGGTGGTAACTCTATGCCCATGTAGATAACTCCCATGTCAGACAAGGTGGAGCATTCCAGGAATTTAGGCTCTGGAAAGTTGAGACAGGAGGATCAGGAGTTCAAGGCCATCCTTGTCTACATAGTGAGTCTGAAGTCATTTTAGCCTACATGAGATCCTATCTCAAAAAAAAAAATCAAAAAAGATTAGAGAGAGGAAAGGAGGAGAGATGATGTGAAAGAAAGATCACCCATGTAGTCCATGGGCTATTGGGAAAAGTCTACCTTCTTATGGCTGTCTGAGGGACAAACATGAGACTGACCTGAGGACTGGCCCACCACTGCGTGAATGGTGGGAAGAAGAGAAGTAGGCAAGGTGAGAGGGTCAACCAATCTGTGCCCTCCGCCATCTCTGCCTTTAGGAGAAGCCTGACCTGAGGCATCAGTCTTGTTGGTTTTGCTCTATCACCTAAACTACTGGACCACTTTCCTTCCTTGGTCCTTCCCCTCTTCCTCCTCCAGACACAAAGGTTGAAGTTCCTTAGATTTCCATCCTTGGCCACATTCTGTCCATATGATCAGAGTCACTCTCCAGCTGCAGGTTTCCCTTTGTGTCCTCAGCTTCAGAGTGTTTCATCTTTCCTCTGTACCCCTACATGTCCTAATGCTCAGCAATGTCTCCTCCAAAACCTCCTAGATGCACCTCAAACTCATCAGCTAAACTGTAGCCATGGTCCTGCTGCACCTTTCTCTTTCTTCAACATTTCCATTTTAGAAAACATGCTTCATACACCTCAAACTTAGGAGTCCATCCTGCTTCTATGCTATCTCCCATTTCCCAAATCCATCCAGTTCCTTGTCCTCAGAACACTAATTATTAAGTTTATTTAAAATTTTGCTTTGTTTACCGAGATCCACAAAATAAAAGGATGCTGGTGAGTGCAGAACATTGACAGGACTGGAAAGATTAGGTTGACTTTTCTTGGTTGTCAACTTAACTATATCTGAGATGAACTACAGTCCAGAAATGGAGAACACATCTGTGATTCGAATCTTGAGGCAGGAAGACAACATGCCTTTGATCAGGATTTTGAGCCAGAAAGACACAGGCATTTAATCCAGATCTTGAGGCAGGAGGATACATCTTTAATCTGGGCCACAGCTTCTGCTGGGAGCCTATACAAGGACAATGGAAGAAGGAAGATATCATCCATTCTTCTCTTCCTCTTGCCCTTGCCTTGCCAGCACATCCATTCCTTCACTGGCACTGGAACCTACTTCTTTGGGGTTCTAGCATATACAGAGGACCAGCTGAGACACCCAGCCTCATGGGACTGAGCAACTACTAGATTCTTGGACTTTCCATTTACAATTAGTTTTTGTTGAATTACTTAGACTGCAGTCAGTAAGTCATTCCAATAAAGTCCCCTTTTGTATAGATAGATAGATAGATAGATAGATAGATAGATAGATAAGCAGACAGATATAGGGATGATAAATAGAGATATACAGATAGATAGATGATAGATAGATAGATAGATAGATAGATAGATAGATAGATAGATAGATTCTTTTTATGAATTCTATGACTCTAGAGAACACTGACTAATACAGATTTTGGTACCAAAACAGAAGTAAAAGGATGAATCTTTTAAGTATCTAGAATAGTTTTTTTTTTAATTCCCAGCCCCTTCAGGTACTGAAGCCTCTCCAGACGCACTCCATTTCCTGGGAGCTCAGAAAGTACTGAAAGCCAGTAGTGTGAACTGTATTACAAACTTAAGAATACAAATGCCCTTGACTATCTAGATTAAGCAATTGTGAGTGGCAAAGGATTTGGTGACCCTATGTAGGAAACTTTTTACAGTTTGGGGAAAAATAAATGATGTTGTTAGCCGGTTGCTCTTTGCATCCCTGGATAAACTGATAAAAAGATAAGAATGAGCTCTACAATAAAATTAATCAATTTCAGAATGCAGTGAAGGACAATGAACTTAAAGCTGCCTACTCCAGATGTGAATAAACAGTCTAAAAGTTTCTAAGTATGCCCTGGAAGAGAATATTCCCGCCAGTAGCCACAGAGCTCAAGTTGTGGGCAAACTGAGTCTCTTATAAGGTTGCCTGAATTAGAGCCTGAATCAGGAAGTAAGGACGTCAATTAGTAAATAATGGGATCCTATGTCTTGGGGTGGGGATGTGTGGGAAGAACCTACTGAAGTTGAGAACTTTGAACCCTCATATTCTAACGGGTTTATCTCACCTGAAGGAGTACTACTCTCAACCCCACCCTTTCACCTTTTACTGAGGTAATCAATCCTTCAGTGACTGCTAAACCAGCAGTGACTTTCTATGAAAGAAACGCCAAGCAAGACAATACTGATGTCCTTCAAGACCTACCAGTAATTGCCTCTAGACCTATAACCAGACTCAAGGCAAAGCAGGCTCCTAGAGCAGATGTAGAAAATGTAGTCTGTGAAAAAATGTGCTACACTACTAAGGAGCTTAAGGATTTTGCTAATTCATTCAAGCAGAAATCTGGGGAATATACATGGATATAGATCTTAAAGGTGTGGGATAATAGTGAAAGGAGTATAAAACTGGATCCAGCTGAGTTTATTGGCAGGGGCCCACTGAGTGGAGATTCTAGGTTTAATATGGAATATCACACAGTTAAAAAATATAGGTGTCAAAAGCTTGTTTGAATAGTTGGCTGAAGCATTTATCAAAAGTTGGCCTACTGAAGAGGAGTTGGAGATGACTGATATCCCTTGGCTTGGTGTTGATGAAAGAATTGTAAGATTCAGGGAAACTGCAATGCCAAAGTGGGTCCGTTGTGAGGAACCTAATCCTGCACAATGGGAAGGCCCAGAAGACACGCCCCTCACAAAATCCTATAAGACGCAAAATGTGGGAGGGGCATCCACACATTTGAAGAGTTTTGTTGTCACCCTTTCCTTGTGCCAGACCTTTGGGTTGGAGATGCTGCTGCTCAACAGAGCAACTTAAATACAATGAGTTTAATTGGAACAGTTTACAGCACTGATTGTCCAGAGGCTATTGTCAGGTGACTATAGCTATGACAATGGGCAGTGTAGGCAAAACAATGTTCATAATGGCTGAACCTGTAATGGTCAGCACAGATAATGTGAGCTTTACAGTGGCAATACTCATATGGACCTTTGGCACTGGCTAAACAATCATGGTGTTTCCAGGCATGAAACAGATAAGAAACCTACCGCAGTTCTGTTTGATCTGTATAAGCTGAAAAATCCTCAAACATAGAAAAGGAAGGCTACATTGGGTCATGGCAAAAGGCAATCCTGGCCAGTGATGTGAGATTCCCCTCTATAAGCTGTGATTATCATTAATGAATAAAGAAACTTCTTTGGACCTATAGCAGGGCAGAAGTTAGGTAGGCAAGGAAAACTGAAATGAATGCTGGGAGAAAAAAGTAGGAGTCAATAGAGAAGTCATGGAGCCTCTGTTGGAGACAGACAAGCTGAAACTTTTCTGGTAGGCCGTGATCTTGTGGTGTTACTAGATTACTAGAAATGGATTAAATTAAGATGTAAGAATTAGCCAATAAAAAGCTAGAGTTAATGGGCCAAGCAGTGATTTAATTAATACAGTTTCTGTGTGGTTTTTTTCAGTTCTGGGCAGCTGGAATAAACAAGCGGGCCCTCCTTGCATCAAACCCTGAAAGGTACTGGTGAAGAAAAATCTTCACAGTGGGCAGAACTTCAGGTAGTAAATGTGGTATTACATTTTGTTTGGAGAGATGGCCAGATGTGCAATTGTTCACTGATTCATGGGCTGTAGCCCACGAATAGTCAGGGACTTGGAAAGCACATGATTGGAAAACTGGTGAGAAAGACATCTGGGGAAGAAGTATTTGGATAGAGCTTTCCAAATGGGCAAAGGATGCAAAGACACTTGTGTCCCATGTAAATGCCCATCAAAAAGTGACTTTAGTTAAGGACGAGTTCAATTATCAGGTAGCGGTCAACCTCTTTCCCCAGATATTCCTGTCATTGCCCAATGGGCCCTTGAACAAAGAAGCCATGATAACTGAGATGGGGTTATGCCTGGGCTCAACAACATGGGCTTCTGTTCACCAAGGCTGACTTTGCTACAGCTGCTGCTGAGTTCCAGGTCTGCCAACAGCAGACCAACATTGAGTCCCAGCTATGGCACAATTTTCTGGGGTGACCAGTGAGTAACCGGTGGTAGGTTGACTACATAAACAATTTCCCCAAGGGAAGTGACAATACTTTTTTTTTTTTTTTTTTTTTTTTTTTTTTACTGAAGTTGATACTTATTCTGGTTAATACTTCTGCCAAAACCACCATCTGTGCTTACAGAATGCCTAATCCACTAACTTGGTGTTCCACACAGTATTGCTTCTGACCAGGGAAGTCACTTCACAGCCGGAGAAATATGACAGTGGGCCCGCAACCATGGAACCCACGGATCTTACCATCTTCTTCACCATCCTGAAGAAGCTGATCTGAAAGACAGATTGGCCTTTTGAAGTCACAGTTAAGTGAAAAGTAGGTGGCAGCAGGATGGAGGGTTGGCATAGGGGTCTCCAGAAGGCAGTATATGTTTTGAATCAGTGTCCAATATATGGTACCGTTTCTCTCATAGCCAGGTTCCACAGGGGTGGAAAAGGAAATAATTTTGCTCACTATCATCTTTGGTGACCCATTAGGAAAGCTTTTGTTTCTTTTTCCCACATCCCTAAGTTCTGCTGGCCTTGAAGTTTTAGTTCCAGAGAAGGAAGTGCTCCTACCAAAAGCCACAGCAAACATTCCATTGAACTGGATCTCAGATTTCCCCCTGGCCACTCTGGGCTTCTATCGCCCTTAAAGCAACAGGCTAAGAAAGAAAGAACACGGTTAGGAGAAGTGATAGATCCAGATTACCATGGGAAGATTGGATTGCTTCTCCACAGTGGCAGTAAGAAGGAAAATGTCCGGAGTGCAGGAGATCCTTTAGGGTGTCTCTTCGTGCTACCATGCCCCGTGATTAAAGTCAATGGAAAATTACAACAACCTAATCCAGGCAGGATGACAGAGGGCACAGACCCATCAGGAATGAAGGTATGGGTCATTTTTCTGGTAAAAGAGCAAAGATCTGTTGACAGGCTTTCCTCAGGTAGAGGAAATACAGAATAGGTAGTAGAGGAATGCAGATCTAAAGACCATCTCAGACCACATGATCAGTTGCAGAAATGAGAATTATAACCAACATGAGTGCTTCTGTTGTATTTTGCTAAGAATGTGTTTGTGCAGGTACTTGTTCTTTCAATATCCTTATCATATGTTATAACAACTAAGAGGATGCTAGTAGGATGTCCCCTAAGGGACATTGCCACCTATTCTAAATTTAAAATTTGTGTGTGGTTGTATGAAGAACAGTTATGTCATGTTAGGTATAAGTATGACCTGGTTTGCAATAGAGATGTATATTGATACAAATTTAAGATCAATTTTGTTTTATACATATATGTGTGTGTGTTCTTGATTAAAGTTTTGTGTTTGTGCAGCTCATTTGAAAATTTAATGCATAACTAAGAAATATAGGTTAATAGATAATCATCTATAATAGAGAAGCTTATAGTCATGTTAGGTTTTCTAGATATATAGAGATGTATTTCAGCTAGGTAGGTATTCTTCAAATCTTTCAGAGACCTTCAGAATATGGCATTTAAGATGTTTAAATTATTAACTTAAGACTTTTCATGACAATGAGACTCATCTGCTCCTGGCAGCACCAATCTACTTCAAGAGGATGATGGGCATCAAAGGGGCTCCTTATGGAGTTTGTTAGCCATTTGTGCAAGAAGCTGCTCTTGACTGGACTGCTTGATGTTATGCTGTATGAACTGGGCATGCAGGATCCACAGAGAAATGACTGCTGAAGTTGCCTAAAGATGGTTAGATGGTCCTTTAGGGTTCCTGCTCCATGAAAGAGTCTGCCAGACATTCTGCAGGACACAGAAGAAAGTGACTGTCAAACTGCCAATATGGGTGGAACTGTCTTTGAAATTTCCTGCATCATGGAAAAGTCTGCAGGATACTATGGTCATATAGGCTGAAGATGAATTCCCCAACAGTACAGAAGAACTTTGGGTGACTATCCAGGCAGTAAGATATCTCTGTCAATTCTAGAGTTTTATAAGTTACTTAAAGTGCACTTAGCCAATAGTCTATCCTTCTGGAGTCTTTGACGGGGTTGAAGAATAGTTATGATTATAGTTTCCCTTAGTTATGATAAGAGATAAAGTAGATATAAATATTGTAACTATAATTCTTACTTGATAACTGTTTTGCTATATGCAATTTTACTCTGTTAAAGTTAAAATCTTCTTTTTTATTTAAACAGAAAAGGGGAAATGATGTGGGAAGTTCTGTCTATGTTTTGCTTTTTTTCATTAACTGCTTTGGGCTTATAGCAGGACAGAAGAGAAAAGAAGAGAAGTAGGCAGGGAAAACTAAACAGTGCTGGGAGAAAGAAGGCAGAGTCAGAGAGGCATTACAGAGCTGCCAGAGGGGAAAGACGTGAGCTGCCATCTGGAACCTTGCTGGTAGGCCACAAGCCCCATGGTAAAATATAAAATAATAGAAATGGGCTAATTTAAGAATAAAAGTGAGCTAGAAATATGCATAAGCTAATAGGCCAAGCAGTGTTGTAATTAATAGTTTCTGTGTGGTTATTTTGGGGCTGAGCAGCCAGGAACAAACAAGCGGACGACAACAACACTGGTTAACATATAATGTGCTTGTGAGTGTACATGGCATAGTTCTATTATGTTTAGGCATTATTATGACATGGTTCTTGTTTTTATTTGGAAATTAATCATGGCATAAGGAGATATGATTGACAAGAGGTGGGTTGTGGTGGCTATTCTCAGTTGTCAAGTTGACTGTATCAGGAATGAACAACAATCCAGAAATGAAGGCACATCTCTGATTGATCCGGATATTGTGGCAGGAAGACAGAATGCCTTAAATCCAGATCTTGAGGTGGAATGACACACACCTTTAATCCAGACTTTGAGGCAGGAAGATACACCTTTAATCTGGTCCAAATCCTCTTCTGGAAGCCTATATAAGGATATGGAAGAAAGAAGGGTTGGTTCTGCTTTACCTGCTTGCCCTTGCCTTGTCAGTACATCCATCCCTTCATTGGCACTGGAATGGAGCCTACTTCTTTGAGATTCCAGCGTGTACAGAGGACCAGCTGAGACACCCAGCCTCATGGGACTGAGCAACTACTAGATTCTTGGACTTTCCATTCACAGAAAGCCTTGATTGGGTTAGTTGGATTGAAGCTCTTAAGTCATTCCAATAAGTTCTATATATTTTAAAGTTATTCATATAATTTATTAAATATTTTTGAAATTTATTATATATATATATATATATATATATATATATATGAAGAGAGGGGACTGAAGGAAAATACCCTGTGAATTGCTCAGTGGTGATGGTTTTGGTCCTAGCCAGATGGGTCCCTGATGGCTCCCTTCAGAGTGACCCCAGGGAATTCATGAGGCATAAGGACCAACTTACTCTGCAGGCAACTTTCTGTACGTAGTGGAACGATCCAGACCTAGCATGCATGAATCCTGGCCTGTTCCTCTTGAACTCTGCCTGCACTTGAGATGCATGCTGGGACATGTTCTTTACACACACTGCCTTTTACAGATGCTGTCTCCTCTCACAGTTGCTCCTCACTCTTCATCTACAGTAATCATGCCCACTGCCACTGCAGGCTCTGTCCCAGGGACCCCAGAGATCTAGATCTCCATCTCCATCCCTTATGTAAATGAGAACATGAGAACACATGGTGGAACAGGATGAGAACATGAGAACCCATGGTGAACACACAGTAGGATGAGAACATGGGAACACATGCTAATACATGATAGGATGAGAACATGAGAACACATGCTAGCACATGGTAGGATAAGAACATATGGTGGCACATGGTAGTATGAGAACATGAGAACACGTGGTGAAACACATGATAGGATGATAATATGAGAACATATGCTAACACATGGTAGGATAAGAACATGAGAACACATGGTGAATCACATGGAAGGATAATAACATGAGAACACATGCTAACACGTGGTAGCATGAGAACACGTGGTAGGATAATAACATGGGAACACATGCTAACACATGGTAGGATGAGAACACATGCTAGCACATGGTAGGATGAGAACATCAGAACACGTAGTGAATCACAAGGTAGAATGGGAACATGAGAACACGCGCTATCACATGGTAGGATGAGAACATGAGAACACATGGTGAAATACATGGTAGGAAGCTTCTGGCCCAAACACCCAGACTGGCTCCTTCCGCCTTGGTGGGGAACAAATCTGGTAATCTTTGTTCATCTCCCGGAGCAGCGCACCCAAGCTGACAGGGATCCCCCTTCAGGGAAGAGGGAACCATGACACAGGCAATGCACCAAGGCGAAGGCTGGGACTTTCCAGGGATTGCAGCTAAGAGTCAGTACTTACAGGAGCATTAGCTGAGGCACTGGACAAATCCTGTGTTCTCTGCAGAAAGAGAACATTTCAATGAAAATGTTAAATGTAAGATTTAAATGATAGTTGTTTAAATTGGTTTTATCACCACCAGCATTATTGATGTTATTTTTAAGATAGGTCTCAGGTAGCCAAGGCTGGTTTTAGGCTCACTATATAACCAAGGCTGGACTTGAACTACTGATCTTTGTGTTTCTACATATGGAACATGGAGTGCTGGGATTCCAAGCATGTGCCATCATCCCCAGCTAAAATTAGTATTATTACTAAGAATCCACTAGATAGGAACAGCTCAAGAGTTCCCATATAACAAATTAAAGCTTAATGCCAACAGCAAAATCAGCTTCAGCCTCATAAGGCCAGCACCTAATCTCCCACTAAGGATTTTTAATCATGACCACTCAAATGTATTTCTCAATTTCACTTTCACCTCAGCCTTTAGAAGCCATGGTCTCACGCACCTGTAGGGGGTTCCCATGGTCCCTCCCACTTGACAGAGGGTTCTCACTCTTGAATTCTTTGATTGAAAATATTGGTTTAATTCATTCTGTCTAGAGGGTTTCTCTTAAATGTATCTACTTCTTTTCCATACCTATTTTTATGGACCTGTGTATCTCTTCAGAGAAAGAGATGATATCAAACTATTGTTGGACCCAAAGCAAGATTGCACCTCCTGGCTCTTGGTCCTCAGGAAGCCTTTGTGGAATCAGGCAAAGAGGCAGCGTCTGGTTTCTATAGGCCGGTTTGAACAATTCTACCTGTCCTCCAACATTAATGGCTCTCAGCCATTTTTATTCAATTTGACCACTCAGGATGTATCAGCCAGGACCACTAGCACCTCACCCCAGAGCAGCTGAGGTGAGCCTGAAACTGTGATAGACCAATCATAGCCCAGAACACAGAAGGCTCAACGAGTCCTGGAGTCTTGGTGATCCTAGAGAGGAAATCTATGACCTTCTGTAGCTCTCCTAGGGACACAGCCCTGAAAATCAAATGAACCTAAGGCACCCAGGGCTTCAGCTCTTTCTCTTAATGGCCTTCTGCCCTCGATTCACAACTCAAAGAGCAGGTAGGCCAGCTGCACATTTAGAAGCAAAATGGACTTCACATTGTTTTGCACATTCATTGGAAAGATTTGTCGGTCTTCCCTTCTGTGACACAGGCCATCTCAGCCCTTAACTCCAGTCCAGGGCCAAGAGCTGGAAACAAACAGGATGTGCGGTATAACCACCTGAGAAGGGCACTCTCACTGTCCACTGTTTGTTATTCTGTAATGTGGACAGTGACTTGGACACAATACTTGAGGTCGCTCGGGGCTACTGGTTCTATCTTCTGTTCAGTCCATGGGTCTAATGTGTATAGTTAGCAATTGTGCATTTAAAGATGAGTAAACATGGCTTCGCTTGGGAAAAGAGAATCCATGTGTCTCAATGCAGATATTAGCATACAGAAATGATGGTTTTGGAAACCGTACCAGAGTGTCTGACACACATTAGCTACCACCAGAAGGCTTAAATGGTCCTGGAAGAGCTGGGAAGTTGTTGTATGATACCAAGAGTGACAAGGAAGATTCCAGAACCCATGACTCTGAGCAGCTGAAGAAGCTCTGAGAGGCTTAAGAAAGTGGAAATGGATCGTGGCTTCTGTTTCTCTGAGAATCCGGTTCTTACTAATTGAGGCTCAAAAGAAGAGGCAACTGCCCCTGTTGTTATGAAACACTGCATCCAGGAATAAAAATGGTTCTGTGGATTGTACTATTCTAGCTCATTTGAGTGATTCAAAAAGAGATACTCTTAGAATTTAGAGGAAGGTAGAGAATATTGACTTTAAAGTAGTCATTGACCAGGTTAGGAGTTAGTTTCCTTCAAGGAAACTGAGTGATATGTCCCAGGGTTCAGAGTCCAAACCAGTCAGACAATAATGCAAATGACAGATAATACACAGGCCTGAAGTTCAAATTCTCAGTGAGCTATGAAGCCCAGTGTGGAGTGTTTTGCAGCCCATTGAAGCCTATGTTGGTGATTTTTTATCATCTCCAGCTCAAAGGAGTCAACGCTGAAAGAAGACCTGACCGTACACAGCCTGAGTGAAGACACAGGCTGAAAACAAAAAAAGAAATAGAGAAAGGAAGGAGAGGTGAAGTATGACAGCCCAACCAAGACACCATAAAATAAAAAAGTTTTGTGAGTAAAACCACATGATGAGAACTCACCTTTTTTCTCTTGCCATAAGTTCGTGGAGAATTGGGGAGAAATTTTTTCTGCAAGATAGAAGGATCGAGCATGTAGTTATCTGTATTTCAGCAGTGTGCACTGGGAATTGTCAGCCTCCTTCCAGAAGTTCTGCCTGGATCTTCCATTCAGACCCACGTTGTCCAACTCCATTCCGCTCTCATCGCATACAACTTAGAGACCCTGGCCTGTGGCAGCTGGAAAGACCTCCTCATATCCCTCTGCCTCAAGTGCTGAGAATTTTCCCTCACAATCCCTTGTTCAACCATTACACATTCTCTGTTCCCACCGGATACAATTCAACTTGTTCCACTAGGAACTAGTTCCACAGGACTAGGCAGTTAACACACATGTGTTTCATGCATACAGGGTGTCACATGTTCTGAGGAGTTTGGAGCACATGACCGAAATTTGGTTATGGGAGATAATGGAGAAAGTTTGTGGAAGAAACACATTCTCTCCTCTCCTCTCTCTCTCTCTCTCTCTCTCTCTCTCTCTCTCCTTTTTAGATAGGGTTTCTCTGTGGAGTTCTGGCAACCTACTCACACTGTAGACAAGATTGTCTTTGAACTCAGAGATCCAGTTGCCTCTGCCTCAGGAGTGCTTGGATTTAAAGAGTATGCCACAACCACCAGCACAGAAAACCAATTTCCAACAGTTTAAGAAGGGTCTCTGGGAGGTGAGGGCCAAGTCAAGAAGGGGTGAGACATTTAAGCTAAGAATTCTAGGATAAAAACTAGCTTGTAGGATAGGGAGATGAGGAAATCATGTCCATGACGGTCCATTACTAACAGCATTGCAGATGTGTCCTAGTTAGTTTGATTGTCAACTTGACACTCCTAAGAAGAGCAAATGTCAACTGAAGAACTGTCTCAGATAACCTTTAGGCATGTCTGTGGGGGCATTTTATTCATTGTGGATTCATACAGAAAATCCAAGCCCACTGTGGGTGGTGCCATCACTTATAAGTGGGCCTAAGCTGAATAAGAAAGAATATTGAACATGAGCCAAGGAGCAAGCCAGTTCTTCTGTAGTTTCTGCTTCAGTTCCTGCCTTCACATTTCTGCCTTGTGTTCCTGCCTTGCCTTCCCTTCATGATGGACTGCTGCCTATAACCAAATAAACTCTTTCCTTCTCCAAGTTGCTTTGGGTCATAGTGACACAGCAAGCAAAGTAGAACCAGAGGTTGAGGTTATCAGAGAGCTGATATCTTTTTAGCTTAGTTGAAGCCCTGAGTTCAGCCCCTTCACACCAAATAATGGTGACAATGATGATCATATATTTCATCTGCCATTTCTAACCTCAATGACATCACTAATTCCTTGTCAATGTTTCACATTTGAGGTCATTAGGATGGCATTAAGTTCCTGCACAAGCATCCTGAGTTGATGGTTTATGACACATTACTCATCCCCTGTATCCACACAACTGCCTTTGCTTGCAGGTTATTTCTCTAGATTCTCTTTCACTTGTCTGGCTATCAACTCCTCCTTTGGCTTCAATGCAGAAATTTCTCTGCAAGAATCCCATTTCCTCCTCAGAGATTCTGTATCTATCATTTGTCAGCATCAGCAAGGTGTACCCCCAGAAATGAGGCTATGAATGTGGGCTGCCTCTCTCCTGAGTGACTGGCAAACCTCATCGGCATTAGGGATTCCCCATATCTCATAGCTATTTGATCTGTAAACAGTGTAAGAAGAAGAGGCACTGACCACCCTTCCCCCTCCCCTGCAATACCTGGATCAAGAATTTCAGGGGCCATTTGTAGCAGTGCACACTCAATTTCCAGTTCTTTGATCGTCCAAGGCCTCCCAAGTTTTCAAACCCAATGGGTGTGTACCAGTCCCCAGCTTCACTCTGTATGGACTTCACGAAGATCCCTGTAAGACGACAGTAGACTGATCATGAGCCTGCTTTGTCCCTGGAGCTCAGATTCATGGCCCCTCCCACCATACTGGAACTGGAGCCACCCAAAGTGTGCTCAAAGTCAATAGAGTTGGCCTTCTCTCTGGCTTCAGGAGTCCCAGCTCAGCCCTGGAGTTCCCTAAGGACTTTGTTGAAGCCTTTCATGCTTCTTTGATTTTCATGCATGAAGGAACTAACAATCGCCACCAACAGATATCTTTTTAAAACTGTTTCAGGGTCACGTCGAAAGGGACAAGGTAGTGACTGACTGCTCAGGGTGCGTGGATTTCAACCTGGTGTTGATCTCTCGGGCTGGAGAACAACCTGTCCCAGGAGGCCCCCGGCAAGGTGGAGGTGGAGTCCTCATCTTAGAGCTGAGACTGCAGCTGGATTCTGCAACTCAGGAGTTCTGTGGCATCATTGTCTACCCAAATTTATGAGACTATTGAACAGGTGCTTGGCCATCACTGCAGTTGGAGGTAAGTACTATTAACCTAAGTAAATATTGTCCCATGAAAATACAGACTAAGGTTAATAAAAAAAAGTCATGTTTTGGGCATCTTCATTGTTATAAAAATGCAAGCAAAATCACAACACCATTTCACATACCACCAAGATGACTGTAACAAAAAACAAGAAATAGTAGCTATTTATTGTAGGGAAGTTGAAGGTCTCACACACTGATGATATGAATATAAAACAATGTTACCGATACCAAAAACATTTGGTAATTCATAACTGAGTTCAACATATAATCATCCTATGACCCAGCAATTCCACTTCTGTGTATGTGCCTCAAACTCAGTGTTTATATCACATAAATGGTATACACAAGTTATCAAAACAGCATTATTCATTATAACCCAAGGCAGAATGAGGCAAACTGAATAAATGAGGGAAACATGAAATAGTCATACAATGGAATATGACATTATTTGTGATTTGAAACATATATTGCATAAACTACACAGATGAGGCTTGATGTCATCATGCTAAGTGAAAGCAGGCAGTCACAAGTGACATACACTATGGCATGTCACTTGTATGAAGTACGTAAGGAGGCAGATTTATAGGCCAGGAATTAGCTGGGCGAATGCTCGGTAGAAGGAACTAGGAATGAGTATCAACTCCTAATAGACAGAGGGAGACAAATATGTTTGCATGGTAATTTTTCTTCTGTGTACCAAAAAAGAAACCCTTATTGATCATAGACTCTAAGTGCTGAATTATATGGTATATGAATTATAACTCAGTAAAGCTGTTAAAAATAGTGACGATGTATTTATATCAACTACCATCCACAGGCTCATATAAAAGAGATGTGAGATGAAGTCCATCATAGTGGGTTTTGGTTGGGGGGGTGTTTTTTCTTTTTTTGAAAACTAGAATATGTTATACCAATAATATAAGTTAATCTTCGTGGATATACTATGGGTCAGGCTTTATATTATTGTCCTCTATTTAAAAATGAGAAATTTCAGCCAGGTGGTGGCGGCGCACGCCTTTAATCCCAGCACTCAGGAGGCAGAGGCAGGCGGATCTCTGGGAGTTCGAGGGCAGCTTGGTCTACAAGAGCTAGTTCCGGGACAGGCACCAAAGCTACAGAGAAACCCTGTCTCAAAAACACCAAAAAAAAAAAAAAAAAAAGAGAGAGAGAGAGAAATTTCATGCCCAGAAAGTCCCTCCTACACTACAGAAAAAGATCTCCTCTCTTGGCAAAGCTGAGTCTAGAACTTGGGTTCTCTGATTCTCAATCCTGTGATGCTCTCACCATGACAAGTGCCCTGCCCTGGTGCTGCTGACACAGGGATGCGAAGGCAGAGGCTGAGGGTCCCTCCCTATTTGTGTCTGACTGGAAGGAAAATATGCACTAGCTTCCATTTCTGGATGGAAGTTTCTCTGGTTCTCTGGGCATCTCATGGCTCCATACATGTTATTGTGAGCATCTACTAGGCATGGTTTCTTCAAGCGTTAGGATTCTTCCTGTTTTCAAGCCAACTCTTCTAGTTCCTTAAGTAATTCCATTATTGCTTGTGATGTTTTTATTTAGCAGTTGTGAAAAAACCACGATACGTACCTTGCTTGAATTTATCCTTGTGTAGTGTTCCCTTCACCTTACCACATGTCACAGGAAGCAGCTCAGCACTGAAACGTGAATTTTTATTTCTGCACCTTTTCGGAACTGGGAAAAAAAAGAAGATTTCTTCTTCTGTCTCTTTGCAGGTGTGCACATTCCCTCCTCTCTCTTGGGGTCATTCCTTTAACACTAGGAACACTTCGCTCCTCAGATCTCTAACTTCTAAGTCATTTTTTGCAAGTGGCATATTGGATACATAATGACAAATATTTTACCTCTAATTTATTTTTTTTTTAAAGAACAAGCTTTACCGGAGACTTTTGGCTTTGATAAACTGTCCTTATCTCACTCTGATTGCTACATGGCCATGAAACAGGGGCTGCCTGACTGTTTGTACTAACGATGGTAGGCAGAGATGGTCCTCTAATCTCCCCCATTTGAGCTCTGACTGGCCTAGGAGGGAGAGATGATGGGCAACCTAGCAGAGTTGGGTGGAATTCCTTTTCTGTTTGCTCTGCTCCATCTTCTCCCTCACAACAGCGTTTTCTGTTGTGAACCCCCAAACAACAGAGAGAACCCCCGAAAGTTCTAGAATAATCTGAAAGCTCTTATGTAGAGCAGAGCTGCAACTCCATAGAAATAGAGATGAAAATTCCTCAAACAAATTTCTGAGAGATGAGGAGTTACATTTTCCCTGCCTGTCATCAGTGCAGAGACCATCACGCGGGAGGGATGCACTGTCTGTGATGCTGATGCTATTTGAGCAGTAGCTGATCAAGACTTCAATGGACATCGGATGGTTGACATAAAATCACACTTCTCTTTAGTAATGGAGAAATTGAGGAAAGAAGAGCCAAGGGAGAACCCGAAGTCCATGTAGTCATAGAAGAGAAAGCTTGGACCCAGGTCTCTCCCACCACTCTGGGCCACCTTGATGTGCATTTGCTGGTGGGTGATACCCCGCGTATGGCAGAGATTGTCTCCACTCTTCCTGGTGAATGGAGGCAGCATTACAGTGGCCCAGAGCTCTAGGTCTTGTTTCAGCTGTATCATCATGATTCTAGTTTCTCAGAGACAGTGAGTAAACAGGCAGTGTCTCCGTGGTTAGTTCAGCTACATAAAGCTGTCATGGAAACTAATGCCCTTGCTTCCTCTCTGTACATGGTGGGAGCACCAGCAACAGAAGGGCTTCCACTCAGGAACAACTTTCCAAGGGAGTCTCCTCCCTCTTACCCAGGATGTCACCAGGATTCTGGAAGGGTAAAGTATGCCTGAGAATACCTCCTTCCTCCCTTTCCTTCTGACAGCCCACACCCATAGCCCACTGGGAAAACTTTTCCCTGCAGCGGTCCATCCTCCATTCCAGCTCTAGGAACTGGGAAGTTACATGGTCTGCTCAAAATTAAAAAGAACTCACCCAAAGGGAGGAGGAAAAGGACTATGAGAGAGAACATTTGCTTTCTGCTTATACTTCACCAAGTCTAGACATTTTAATAATCAATGTGTGGTGCTGTGGGGACTCCTTCTACTCCTTCAGCCAATAGCCTTTAAGAGACCAACTCAAACGTAAGGAAGAAATTAGGACACATAATATTGATGATATAAATACAGTTCACAGTCTTGCTCCAAACAACTTTGCTTTGAGATTTTGCTGCTCTCAAGTTGATAGATAAGCCTGAGTAGAAATTTTTAAGGCTTTAGATTTTCCCCAAACCCTAACAAAATCTGTGTGCACTCATGGGTGTAGGGAAAGACCCACGGAGGCCATCTTACCCCTGGTCTTGGCAGAACGGCCTGGATTCTTTTCCGTTTTCTTTCTCCTGACAGCCTGGTGGCCAACTCTGGTGCCATCTAGGAGAGATACAGACAAATGCAGATTGAGCCAAGCAACAGCTGAAAATGGGAAGGAGCAAGGGAGGCCTCTCTGTTAAGTCAGAGTACTTTCTGAACACACTGTGGATGAGAGCTCACAACAAGGAGCTGTGTCTAAGCAAGTAGAAGTCAAAGTTAAAGCCTGTGAAGGATTCTGTTGTATTAACACATTAGAAAGAAATCTGTCTACACAGACTTGAATAAAAATGTGGTTTACAAAATATGTATTCAAAAAAATAGACAAAACCACCATTTCTCCTCTCTAAACAAAAATATACATATCAATCAAGAGCACAACTGGGTCATTGTCAAGAGTGTATGATTCTTAGTTTGGTGAAATTAATATTGAATGGGATTCCAAAGCCTATTTCATGGATCTGATGCAAAATTGATAATAATTTAGAAAAAGGCATTTAGCTTTTGTCTAGGAAGACGAAATCCCTTAGACTGTTACTAAAATCAGATGGTAGGGTGCTGTTTGTAAATATATACAAGTTATAGGAATAAGATTGTAGGAAACATCACAGTGATTAACTTGTTCAAAAATCTTCTAAGATTGATTGTTCTCTCTCTCTCTCTCTCTCTCTCTCTCTCTCTCTCTCTCTCTCTCTCTCTCTATCTCACCTCTAATGACAAAAGTTGATCATGTTCAATATTTTAAACACAAATAAAAATATGGACATCACTTCTATTCTAATAGCCAAATATAACCAGTGAATGCATTTTTGCATACAAATGTATACACGTTGTGTTCCTCTGTATGTATGTGTGGGGGCCCAGATACCAAAGTCGAGCATCTTCCTCAGTGGCTCTCCATCTTAACTGTTGACAAGATCTGACACCAAAACCAGAACTCATCAGTTTGGTTGGCTAAGCTTGCTGTTCAACAAGCCTGATGAATTCAACAGTGAAGGATTGCAGATGTGTAATCATGTCATTTTTTATGTGGGGGCTAGGGATCGAAATTCAGGGCCTCAAACTTGTGTAGCAAGCACTTTAACACTGAGCGTCTTGTCAGCCCTTCAATGAACATTTGTGAAAATGGACTGTCGATTATTTTTCTATCTCTACGTACATCTCCCTCTCTAGATAGATCCATAGTTACATTGAAAGGCCTGGATTTATAAACAAAATGAATGGTTTCATGCTGCGGAATATTATTTTCAGATGTGTTACATTAGTTTATGCTGTGGAACGTTTGTTTTAATGATGCAAAGATATATTACATTTTTTATGTTACATTGTTTAACTCTGTGAAGCTGTGTTGCTGTGCCTGTCTATCTAATCAGTAAAACAACTGATTGGTCTAATAAAGAGCTGAACAGCCCATAGCAAGGCGAAAGAATGGATAGGTGAGGCACATACACACATTTGCACATATACACCTGTAACCTGTTTGCTTCATTAAACCTTCTTTGGAACACAACCTACATAAACCTTTTGTGGGAGGGTGGAGGTTACTCAGGGGCTAAAAGCCACCAGTGTTCAAACATAAGGACCTGAGTTCAGATACCAGCATCCACTTAAAAAATATGTATGTATGCACCTATAATGCTAGTGTTAAGGGATGGGAGACAAGAAGCTCACTGGGGTTTACTGGCTGGCTGACAACCATCAAGGGAATAAAGGAGAGAGAGAGAGAGAGAGAGAGAGAGAGAGAGAGAGAGAGAGAGAGAGAGAGCGAGCAGGATATTCAATATCCTCCTCAGGCCTATACTTGTAGGTGCAAGTATGTGTACCCATATGCACAGTGTAAATACAACACACATACACTCACTCACATACACACACACACACTACTAAGGCTCAGAAACTCACAGGTCTCCAAGCATGCAATGGGCAACACCTTAAAAAACTCAACAGCTGTAACTCCATCCAGCTGCTTGCTTACTTTTTGGCCGTACAGTTTGTGGCCTTCTCTGTTTTACTCTTGACAAGTTGTGACCTTTCTTTTTTCCTACCAAACAAAAATAATAAAATTAATTATTCAAAGATACAAATGTAATTCTCTAAGCCTTATATGTCAGCCATATTCAGATAAAGTTTTCAAATTTCAAATCTTAGAAATGAGGAAAAATTCTAATAACCAGTTTAGTCATGTGAGGGTTCATGGTGGTCCAGCCTCAATGAAATTCACACATTCCAAGGTAGAAGCATGAGGATTAGAATTACTGAGCAAAAGGAACAGAGATATGAAAGAAATAAAAGCACCAGAAGGAATTTATTTATTTTCTGCATGTTTATACACTTCACTCCAAAAGGGGAGGGAGAAGGCAACAGACTTCATTAACATGGTATAAGGAATTATCAAGTATCCAGTGGCTTTGATTGGTGAGTTTTTTCCCTTCTGGTCAGCTTAACTGTTTCTCTGAACCCCAGGACTTAACCATTGATCTCCTGGCAACCTTATGGTGTTCCAAGAAATGAGGGGGAACCTTCAAGGCTATGGTTAAGCCCTTTGCTGACATTCATCCCTGGTTATTCCCCTTGGCTAAGGACTGAGATTTGACTCCTCACCACTCGAATTTGGTCCTCATCTCTCTGACTGTTGTCCTCTCTCGGGCCACTCAGAGTGGTCCTATCCAGTCCTTAATTCCTGTATGGACAGGTATCAAATTGACCTTGACCTAGCCCTTGACCCTTGCTTTATCCCAAAGATGTTCATGGTTAATTACTATTGGGTCCTCACCTTTTTCACATTCTTAGCCATGGGAAATAAACCCTCAAAAACTATTAGTCCATCTTCCTCCCTGGGATGTCTTTTAGAGACCCTCAAACCTCAATTCTTCATGCTTTACTCACAGATTCCCAAGATTATCTGCCTTTGAACTAAGAAATACCCTAAGTGCACATAAGATAATAACCTAAAGTGGCCACTTAACAGCACCTTAGATCCCGATATTCTGAGGGAACTTTCTAACTTTTGTCAGCGCACAGGCAGATGGAAAGAGTTATCTTATATCCAAGTCTTTTTCTATCTAAGTTCTAAGCCCTCTGTCCTTACAAGCTGTTCACCTGCTCACACGTTCCTGACTATACCATCTAAGCTGCAGGAATACCCCATTTCCACTCTGGACCCTGCTAATGAACCCCCACCTTTCCAACCTCAGCAGACAGCTACTTCTACCTCTCCAGTTCTCTTTCCTCCATCAACTGCTCTGTTAGCCCCTCTGGATCCTTCCTTCTCTCCAGTGCCATGCTGCGGCAGCTGCCCGATTCTAGCACTCACTTTTACCCCTACTCTCACAGCTCGCATGTTGTTAGGGGACCCAACCCTGACCAAACCAACCAGCAGCAGTTCTGTTGCAAGAGGCAGCCAGTGTGGATGGAATGGTCAAGGCACACGTTCCTTTCTCGCTCTCAGAATTCTCTCACGTAGAACAAAAACTGTGTTCTTACACATCTAATTCTACCTTTCATAAAATAACTCTAATACATTACTCAATCTTATAGTCACACCTTTCATGATACTTTCATGATGCTAACTAATAACCTACTTCCTGAGGAGCACGGGCGAGTTTGGGAGCAGACCAGAGTACATGCAGATGAGGCTCACCAGACTAATGCAGCACACCTCCCTGGGGCAGAAGCCATCCCTGTGTGGGCTCCACACTGGGATTATAACACCCCAGGTGGTATTTTAGCTAGAGACTAGTTTATGACTTGCCTCCTGGTACATCTCCTTAAGGCTTCCCTCAAGCCAGTAAACTATGATAAACTCTTAGATGTTGTTCAGGATCCAAATGAAAATCCATCTGCATTCTTAGAGCACATCACAAAGGCTCTCTTGCAGTACACTAATTTAGATCCAGAGGCCCCAGAGGACAAACAGCTCCTCATAACCCATTTCTTTTCCCAGAGCTTCCTCAAATTAGGTCTAAAATTAATTATTTGGAGAAAGGCCCCTTGATATCCCACAGGCAGAAGTCTTAGGGCTGGCTTTTAAGGTATGCCATGGAAGGCATGATAAGAACCATAGACAGAAATGTCAAATGCTGGCCAAGACCATTTGACTGGCTTAGGCAACTGATCATCCTGCCTGTGCCACTCCCTTGCACCCTGGGGCTCAAGAGCCACTGGGCCCATGTTTTAAATGTGGTAAAATGGGGCATTGGGCCTGGGCATGCCCTAATCCTCATATTGGTCCAACAAGACTGTGTCTGAAGTGCCATAGAGAAGGACATTGGGTGATCAACTGTCCTCATGCACATAATGGAATGGAGACATCAGACCCAGACAACTCCCAAACCAACCTTCTCAGTCTGGCCATGGATAACTGAGGCTGCCCAGGCTCCCTTGACCCGACCACAACTGTCGTCTGTAATAGGGAGCCATGGGTAAATATCACAGTATCAGGATGGGCCATCTCCCTTCTCTTGGATACCAGAGTCCCATACTTGGTACTTAGAGAGTTTGGGGTACCCACATCTCCTTCTACTTTCCCTATTGTTGAGGTAGGAGGACAGCATTATCTAACTCATCAGACCCCACACACAATTGCATTTTCAAATGCATTCCTCTCACTCATTCATTTTTAGTCATGCCAACTTACCCTGTACCTCTTATGGGAAGAGATTATTTTAGCTGAAGTGGGAGCTTCTATCTTGTTTGCTCCTCCCGTTCACCTCACCCCAGGCTCGCCAGCAGCTCCTCTCCTTCTCCTCCTAGCCTCCCAACCTCCCAGCTTCAACGTATCTCTTCCTCTACCGGCCTCTCAGGTAAAACCCCAAGTCTGAGACACCCAAAACCTGTCTGTTGCTAGACACCATTCACCCATTGTTATCCAATTACAGGATCCTACCAGGTACATTACCCAAACTCATTGCTTGGGGTATTCTAAGACTTTTCTAATTTGAGTAATTTGAAATTACCCCTCAAGGGCCCAGCAACTGAGTGAGGATTTCCCCTAATATTAATATTCAGGAGACAGAGGCAAGCAGATGTGTGAGTTCATGGCCAACATGATCTGTCTACACATCAGGCTCTAGACCAGCCAAAGCTATACAGTGAAACCCTGTCAAAAAAAATGACAAACAAATTCTTTAGTCTCTCCTCATTGCCTAACTTCAATACTACTTCTGAATATTTATGACTATGATAGAGCTACATCTCACTTGCAGAAAACCCATTCTTTGCTTACCAATGGGGTACATTCTGAGAAATTGTCATTAGAATCTTCTCACTGTGAGACCATCAATGTACTTATAGACTAAGTCAACTGCAACCCTATACAGTAATGCCATCTTATGAGACCACTCTCATACATGTGGTCTGTCACTGTCATGAAGACTATACATAATTCCTCACTATTCCAAAATATGTACTACTCTTTACTTCTCTGAGAACAAATTACCAAACATTTAGTAGCTTTAAACATCACAGGTCAGACATTGTCCCCACTAAACAAGGCCTTATCTTGATCATTTGTGTAGAATGTCTTTATCATTAGGAGAAGACTCCATCCTCTTAAAAGTGGCTCTACAAAGGGTTCCTGCTTCTCTCCAGCTCCAAGCGGGCAAGTGCAAAGAACTGGATTCAGGGATGAACTGGACCACAAGCTGGATCCTGTGGCATTTTCCAGCCATGCCTAACCCACAACCTTGTGCAGCCTTGTCTATTAGTTACCTGATTGGCTGTTTCCCATGCTTGCTTCTGGGTCCTTTGCTGAGGGACACATGACACAGGAACACATCTCATTTTCACTTGTGGATCGCTCTGCTCCTGTGCCAAAATTGTAGGTATTGGTTTGTTTGTTATTTAATTTTGCAATACTGGGTACCAAACTCAGAGCCTTACCCATTCTAGGCAAGCAGTCTACCACTGGGCTATGCCCTCACATGTTTTCTTTGTGTTCATTGTTAGACATGGTGCCAACTAATTTTCCTGAATGGCTTTGAACTCACTTGACTGGGGTCTTTCATTGTCATTCCAAGCATCGGACAGATGGCCTTTTTATATCTTAACTGAACCACTGCCTTTTCTTATTCCTTAAAAATATTTTTGCATTCTCCTTCTGTCTGACTTTCAGTTCCTCTTTTTTATTTTTTCCTCTCCTGTCTTGCCCCCTTTATCAGAATGGCATCTGTGTGATTATTTTAGGACAGAGTCTCCTTCTCTGTCATCCAACAGCAGGCTAGAATCAAGCTCTCCTACCCTATTTCATCACCCGGTGATGGAGCATTCTGGCTAGTAACTAAAACATTGCTGTCCATGGATCCTGAGACAGTGTCAGATAAGAGCCACCACTGCTCTCTGACTGCACAGCAAGGTAGATTCTGAATGAAGGAGAAAGCTATTTTCTAGGGAAACAAACAAACCAAAAACAACGAAAACTCAAAAACAAATAAAACCTGCTGTAGCAGTCACACCCAGGATCCAATGGAGCTATCTCTTTCCACAATGTACATTATTTTCCATTTTTCCAAATTAAGTTTCCTTTAATTTGCTACATATAGTTGTAAGATTTTCAAAGTTCTTATATGCTGTGAAAAAAATAAAACTGTTCTCTGAAAATAGTAAAGGATAACTTTTGCTAGTTTTACCAGTTTCAAACCCATCCCAAACTGGCCAGTGACTACCTAATCACTAACCAAACTTCGGAAATCTAGCCAATCAGAAGCAATGATACAAATTTGAAATCCAGCTTATCAGCAGCAGTCCCCCTCCAAATGCTGGGTTCATGTCTTCATAGCAGCCTTTGCTAAGCACTTCTGCTTTATAGAGTCTAAGCCCCTGAGCTACCTTCTCCTTTTTTATTGATTTTTATTGAGCTTTTCTCCCTGCTTCACTCCCTGCCTCTCCCCTACCCCTTTAATGAGCTTCCTTCTTCTTAAAGCTCCAAGTGAATCTAGCTGTGGCCTAGGAGCCATGTGCTTTGAACACAATCTTTCTTCCCACTCCCAGCCAGTCCCAGCCTGCCTCATTGAGAACAGGACTCACAAGCATAGCTGTTCCTTAGTTAACACTAGGTGGTAGTTATTTCTCCTAGCAACTCCATTTTCGACGCTGCTTGGAAAGGCCTTTGTGCCTCTCACTAGCTCTCTGGATTTTTCTCTTCCTAACGTTTACTGTCTTCTTTACCTCCTAAGTATGCACCACATTTTACATTGCTTTTGTGTTAATAGTTTCTAGCGCTATCCTTCTGGGACTCCACTATTTCATATAAAACTATTCACACGCTTTGTAATTCTCTGTGATGTTTTTTCTTTCACTCTCTTTAAGAAACCCTATTTGCTAAATAAAACCTCTTTCTGCTGGACCCTTGCAGGCTCCCCTGAGTAGTCAAAGACATAAACTTTGGGTTCAGATCATGAGAATCTAGCCACCTAAGCCCAGGTGAGACCATCTGGAAACTTGACCTCTGATCTCCTTGTCATTGTCAAGTTCTAAAACACACCAGAAACTCATTGATTCCTGTGCTTCTAGAGAATTACAACTATAACAATTTCCCTCTTGACAAAGTGCTAAGGGTTTTAAGAATAAAGGGAAGGCAGGATGACTTGTGTGTTAAAGAATGTAGGGAAAGTGCCCAAATAATACTGATTGAATAGCTTTGGGTTTCATTAAATTACATCAGTCAGATGATACAATACTTCCTCTTTGAGCACTATAAAAAAAAGAGAATAGAGGGTCACAAAATAAAGTTAATGCTTTAAAAATGGGTAAAGTCTTTAAAGAGACAGAGTACAGATAGGTGTGGATTAAAAGCAGTAAAGAAAAATAAGTCATGTAAAAATGAAAAAGTCAAAGAGATTCTCTGAATTAATGTATGTTATTGTGTTATCTTTGAACTTTTTGACTGTGAATGAGCTAAGTACAGAGCGACATTTCATTGTATGGGCTGCTAAGCTAAATCAGCATGTATATTATAAAGGTATCATGACTTCCAAATTTGGGTCTAAAGATATGTTGCTTTGGAAAAGAGGTTCTTCTCTTGTTTCCACAGAGGATGAGAACCTTTGGATTGCTTCCAGACTGGTATGGTTTGATGAAACAAGACACCCTGAAGGTTGCCTTAAACACCCCTCAAAAATTACTTCACCCAGCTGCTGACTGAGATGAACCTAGCACATAGAATGCACCATGAAAGACCTGATTAACAGTGACCTCCAAACAGCAGGAAGCAGTATGGACAGAACTATGCCCATATTCCCAAATATTTTTCATAATTGTTTCTTTACATTTAAAGAGGGATATGCTATAGAGATGAATAATTTGCTTTGGTATGGATCTCGGTTTATTAATACAAATTTAAGGTAAATTTTGTTACACTGTATATGGATATTTCTGCCCTTGATTAAGGTACTGTGTTTGTGTAGTTCACATAAAATTTTAAAATGTAATGTATAATTAAGAAATATAATTTAATACTCATCTATAATAGTCAAGCTTGTAGTCATGTTAGTTAGATTTTCTATATGTATAGAGATATATTTCAGATGGATAGGCATTCTTCATATCTTTCAAAGACTACAGAATATGGTATTTAAAATGTTTTAATAACTTAGAACTTTTCATGGCAATGAGACACATCTGCTCCTGGCAGCACAAGCTACTTCAAGAGGAAGTTGGGCATCAAAGAGGCTCCTTATAGAGTTGGATAGCCATTTGGGCAAGAAACTGCACTTGCATGGACTGCTTAATGAACTGGACATGCAGTATCCACAGAGAAATAACTGCTAAACTTGCCTAAAAGTGAGATTACCCCTCAGGGTTCTTGACTCATGAAAGAGTCTGCCAGACATTCTGCATGACATGGAAGAAAGTGACTGACAGATTGCCATGATAGGCAGAACTGCATTTGAAATTTCCTGCTTCGTGGAAATGTCTGCCAGATACTATGGGCCTATAGGCTGAAGATGGATGCTCCAACGTTACAGAAGAACTTTGGATGACTGTCCAGGTAGCAATTCTAGAATTTTGGAAGTTGCTTGCAATGTACTTCCTGTTTACTTAGGTAATATTATATCCTTTCAGAGTCTTTGATGGAGCTGAAGAATAGACATAGTTTTCCTTAGTTATGGTAAGAGATAAAGTAGATATAAATATTGTAATTTTTGCTTGATAACTGTTGATTATATATAATTTTACTATGTCAAAGTTAAAGCATTCCTTTTTGTTTAAACAGAAAAGGGGAAATGGTATGGGAAGTACTTCTGTCTATGTGTTGATTTTATTGGTTAATGATGAAGAAAACTGGCTTGGTCTATAGCATTGGAAGAGGAAGGCAGAGTGAGAGGGAGATGCTATGGAGCTGTCGCCAGAGA